GCAATCAGCTCGTGTGTCGGCCGCTTTTCCTTGCTGGTAGGAGCTGCTCTCAGCCGTGAAGCACGGGGTGGTTTGGGGTCCCTAAAGGTGCGGTGCCCTCTGTAGGGGCATTGCCAGGGCCTGCCCCGTTCCACGGCAGACCTCTGGCGGCACAAAGGCAAGCCTTAGGTCCCAGCTGCAGTATGTTACACCGCTAAAACTTTCACATGACGGATACGTTGGTTCTTCAGATTTTCAGGACTTCCCAGTTACCGTCAATCAAGAGTATCTCCCATGCTAGCTAATCCAACGTGATTTACAGTGCTCAGTATCCACAGAATTTTATCGGTGATCAATATGGTGCATTTTCTGTTTCCTTCCTACACACTATCGGCCTTGCCCGAGTTCCCACCGTATCTTACTTGGCAGTAACTTCATCACACAGACATTTACCCACTACATTTGTCCATTGCTTTAATGTGAAAGTCTTTTATGCTCTCCAGCTTGATGATAAAGGTATATGAATTGACCTCTGCTAGGTGAGGATGCTGAATCACTTGTTGTAATATGCTTTCATATATTCTGATGCTTACTCTGAGTTATTTTTCATTCATGTAATACTCTTATGCCTAAAAGAAGAAGGAGGAGAAAAGATTGTAGTAGTACATTAGCAATTGGGCAAAATTGAATTAATACTGTTATAACCTATGTCCAATCTAGTATATATGCTCTAACAGTGATATAGAGCAGTCCTTGTTGAGAATATGGTCTGCACCCCACAGTTGTGCAATGAGGCTTCTAGTCCGTGAAGCTTTAGATCACAGGGCTTGCATTTTGTTCATCTGTAGAGCTGTTTGTCCTCTAGCTGCCTCGTTCATGCAATTTCATTCTAGTACATTACTTGAGTAGTACAGCCTTGAAGGAAAGCACTATGTGCTCCTTTTTTGTTTTAAGAAGCGTTTGTTATGTTAAGCTGTCCTAAGTGTAGGAATAGGTGCAGACATACTGTAAAAATGGGCCAGGGTTAAGAGTGCACTGGATGCTCATCACACAGATCTAGCACAATAAAGCAAATTAGCTTTGGGAGCTTTCTGCACACATTCAGTGCACTAACATAAGTCACTTGGTGGTAGGTCGGCTTGCACTTTTGAGAAAAGTGAAACTGCCAGAAGAGAAAACTTCCCAAAAGAAAAACTTTTTGGTATTGTTGATGTTATATGCTTTCATTCAAAGATCACTCCAAACATCCCATCATTTGGAAAATAGCTGTTAATTGAAAAGTATTTATTAATAGGGTAAAAAGTCCCTTAACACTGTATCAAGAGCTGCCTTGCTTCATTAGTCCTTGAGAAGTTCAGTTGTAGTGACGTGAAGAAGTAGTTGTCTGATTTAAGGAATCTCTCTCTGTCTTTTTTTTTTCTTTGAACAGTTTTGTCAGAGAAGCCGACAACTTTCACAATCACTGTGACATCTGAAGCAGGGGAAAATGATGAAAGTAAGTTGATCACGTCATAAACATATAACAGAGGAGTAAACATATAGGAGGAGTTTCTGTGTAAGCCTAATTCTGTCACCAACAACTAGGTCTACCTCCACTGAAGTCCTCTTAGGGGCCAGATCCAGCAGGCATTCCTCAGAAAATGTAGTTCAAGAGTTCTAGTGTTCTGTGTTTAGTTTACAGAAGTGTTGCGCTCTCTCACTAGGGCTACTTTCTGACATGCTGAATCTCAAATGCTTCGCAGCGTAGCTTCAAAAAGAATGGGTTGCCATCATCCCTGTAGGAAGTTACAGCCATGTTGTGAGGTGATTTTTTTTTTGTTTTGTTTTGTTTTTGTTTTTCCTAGCAGCTGTGTACTAGCCACGTAGGAGAGTTGAATCTGTGTACTGTGAATATGCAGCCCTTAAGGAACGGTTCCAGAAGAAGGAGCTGTGGGTCCCAAGTCCCTATGTATTTTTTGGGTATCAGTGGTTTCATGGGCTTCTTGTTAGCAAGCATTGCTCCAAGTTAAGTTTGAGAGCTGCTGTTCTGGGTTACTGTGTCAGAAGGAAGAAACTGCTGCTGTCTTCTTCAGTTTTAAAAAGTCCTGCTCAGAGCAGGTGTCTGTGCTGAAGAGACTGCTGGGCTGCTAGAACTGTGAGTCTTGAGGGACTGAAGGAAGGCTTCTCCCCGGTATTCTGGCAGGATGGATGAAAGGATCTTGATTCTTTTTTGTCTTGTTTCCATGTTATGCTAGCTCTGGGTAGCGTCAGGTTGAGTGTGTTCTGCTTAGGCAGTTCTCTGCTTGTTAACTTGTAGTGGACATTGTGTCCTTGACATACGATTTGTGTGGATCCCTGGTACTCCACACAGGGCTTGATATTCCAGCCAGGCATACAGAATTTAAAGCATTAATGTGCTGAGATTCTCCTAGATCGGTTGTTAGGATACTTCCTCATTTTCCCCAGCTTCAAGTGGGATGTGAGGGAAAAGAAATTACTACTGTAGTACTGTAGTACCACGGAAGGTTTTCCAGTCTTTCTAAAGACCTTTCAGACATTAATAGCTTGTAATAGTTTATGTAAGGCTAAACTTACCCACAGTACCAGGAGGGTTTTCCAGTCTTTCTAAAGACCTTTCAGACATTAATAGCTTGTAATAGTTTATGTAAGGCTAAACTTCCATCATTTTAATTTCTCAGAACTCTTGCATTATATTTAAATCTGTTCATATAGTTTTAACATCTATGTAAGATGACTGTTCCTTTCAGACAAGAATATTTTATATTTTAAAATCTCCAGGCTGCTAATGCAATAGAAAAATACGCAGTTAGAGTTATATAAAGTTATCACCATAAGAATATGTGGGTTTTTTATCTTGTAGCTGTCCAAACAACCCTTAAATTTACCTATAGAGAAAAATATCCTGATGAAGCTCCACTTTACGAAATTGTCTCACAGGAGAATCTTGATGATAATGATGTCACGGACATCATAAAACTACTAGAACAACAGGTAAGGAAAATGGAATATCTCAATTCAGCTTGTTGATAGATCACTTCATACTTTAGCTAGAATTTCTCTCCAGTCAGTTGTTTTCTGAGGTATGTGCTACTGATTTGAAACGTATTCCATACAGTAGAGACTAACTTTGAGGTTTGAGTCTGGTAAACGACATTACTGAGTGATGCTAATGAGGTAACATACAGGGCTAATTCAGTATGCACAGGTACAGTAATGAAATGGAAGTGCTGTAGGGCTGCCCCTCTCTTGAAGTTCTAGCTTACGGTGAATTTGTTTAACTGTATATGTAGTAGACTTTTATTTGGAAAGACTGAAAAATGCTATGTTGATTCTTTTTAATAACACAATTATTTGGGGAGGGAGAGAGAATATCCCTTTAACCTTTGGGATCAGTGAGAGTGCACTGTGAAGGAATGAGAAGGAAACACTTCTTTGGTTTCAGGAATTCTTGACAAGTCCTCCCTGCCTTAAAATTGCCATAATATGTTTGGTAGACATTCTTTCTTTTCAGTTTTCTTCACATAACCTTCCTTCCATCGACTGATGTTTTTTGTTCTTCCTGGGAATCTGTCCCATTTCAGAGGGGCATGTGAGGGGATTAAGGAATAAGCCATCTCAGGAGAAGAGAGGTTCTGAGTGACTGTTGTCTCTTATGATTTATGATATTAAAGTCTTTGAGTTGTATTCCTACTATAGGTTTGGCTTTGTTCATGAAAAAGCCTTCCAGATGTCTATAATATGTTGATAATCTGAACGCAGGTGTTCATCATTGGTGTTTTGCTGCACACCCATTTTGGGGGTATCTTTAACTGGATTAACTGGCTGATTGACTTGAATTTTACAGTGAGCTTTTTAGACTGATGCAGAGTGCCTCAGCTGTGTTACCTGCATTTGCACAGCATACTGCTTTCTAAACATACTTCTGCATTCAGTTGCTGGAGGTTTGAGGTTCTTCTGTTTGAAGTTGCCTTCTCTGTGTTGTAGGCAGAAGAAAATTTAGGAATGGTAATGATCTTCACTCTAGTCTCAGCAGTACAGGAGAAATTAAATGAAATAGTGGATCAAATAAAAACACGAAGAGAAGAGGAAAAGAAACAGAAAGAAAGAGAAGCAGAAGAAGAAGAGAAAGTATGTAAAATAATGTTTTCAACTAAAAATTTCCCGCTTTTTTTAAGTGTGTGGGTTTGATGCAGGAGCAATTCTCGGTTGCAGTGGGAGAGGAACATCTATCCCAAAGTTGCTATAATTAAAACTTAAGGACTAGAAAATACTTTAGCACCCTTAAGTGATTTTTTTTTTTTTTTTTTTCCCCACGCCCCATTCTCTAAAGCAGTCTTTTCAGAGACATGTTGCCTATTCACAATCTCTTCTAGCATTACTTCCTAAGGCAGGGGCAGGGATTTTTCCCAAATGAAATGAAAGTTGCTGTAAGAGGCAAGAGGGGATGGGGAGCAAAAAAGGCTAGAATATGGTCTGCATGATCTGAGGAAATCTCTCTTCCTTGGTAGACTGTATGGGTAGGGTGAAAGCAGTGGGACCAGTCTTCAAGACTGGTTTGTCCTCCCTGCACGTGTCCTTTCTACCCGCCGCTGTGGAATATTTTCCATTCGTGGAATGTGCTGTGGTAAGTCCAACTGCTGAGTCTTCGCTTTCTTCTTCAGAAATAGCTGGAGTGTGACGGGACTTGGAAGGTTCAGTATTTCTGAAAATGGCAGAAAAATGGCTGGAAAAAAGAATCCTTTTTTTCTGTCTCAACAAGATAGAAGGGTTTATACATTTTAGTGGAAAATATTTCGGTGCAGATTGCACTTAAGAGTTGATCTGAAGTGTTGTCTACTTATGGATAACCTGTGTTAGTGATGTGTTGCTAACTATTGCACTGTAGGTCCAAAAGTAGCGTGCAGAGTTTTTCCATAAGAATTTCTACCTCCATGCAGCTCTCTGAAGGGAGAGTCCCGTGACAAAAAACAGTACAAGTGTGTTCTTTGTATATTCTCAGGGTTAGGATTAATTTCTCTCTATACTTCACAGCAAGCAGTGCTTCTGGAATATTGTAATTTAGATAACTAGGAGAATGCTCATCTTCACTCATAGCTTTGCAAGTTGTGTTTGAAGCCTTGTTTTCTGTTCTTTCAGCAACGTTTTCATGGCACTCCTGTTACCATTGAGAATTTCCTAAACTGGAAAGCGAAGTTTGATGCAGAACTCCTAGAAATAAAAAGGAAAAAAATGAAAGAAGAAGAACAAGCAGGAAAAAATAAACTAAGTGGTATGATTTAAAACTGCTCCTGAGCTTTTTGCAATGTTACCGGACTATAACCACAAGCCTTACAAGTGATTTTTACACTGAAAGATGATGGTGGTAAATAAACTGTTAATGCAGTATTTGATTGTTGTCCTCCACATCGCATGAAGTCTTTCCGAGTGCTGATTTTGGGCTAAATACAAAGCTAACAGATGCAGCATTTCTGCTGAAGTCATTAAGGTTCCCAAATTGTGTGTTTAAGCTTCTTCAGTTTTGGGCCAGACAGTGTAGCACTTGGAGCTGCCGCTGACAAGCGTTGTTCTGGCAGAAAGAGTTGGGGTTTGTTAAGCAACAGAAAGAATCTACATCAGACCGTTTATTGATTTGGCCCTTATTGCACTGGATTGTACAGTGACTTCAGATTATTCAAGCACATGTAGGAATTTGGGATGCTGTTACTGAACGTATTTGATTCCCCTCTGAAGGGAATCCATTTGGGAATCTGCAAAGATGAGATACTACAAATCCGGCTGCCTCTAGTTTTCCTGTTCTTAAAATTATTGTTAGCATGCCGTGTCTATTTTCCTCTGTACAAATCTGGTTTATAGAAGCTCCCTTTTACAAAATTAAAACCAGGCTTATTCTCAGATGTCATGAGTGTAACCCCAGTAGAAGTAAAAGCTGTCTTAAATGTTCTGCTATCAACACCAAGCAGCCTTGTTGGCGGAAGCTTGCATAAGCAATGCAAATATAGATGGAAGATGGGTGGCTTATGTGGAAAGAGTCCTGAGCTTTTCTTCCCCTACCTCCCAATTAGAAAGGCTTCACTTTGCCTTGTGTGGTTTCCTTCACAGATGTGTGCGTGTAGGAGCTGGTGATTTGTGTGTAGATCCAAGTTGCTTTTTGAATGGGGAGGATATATGGAAAAAGATGGAGAAGGCAGCTAATTTCCTTCCCAGTTGCCACAGGATTTCTTGTGGAATGCGAGATGAGGACTAAAGCAATAAGGACTAAGCAAAGGCTGTGGGGCAGTATGGTGTAAATTTTCCCACCCCCCACTATTAAAGCCTTAGTAACATTAAAGTGACTGTAAGAAACAGTGACCCATTGCACATGTAAGATGAGGAAGCCTGCTGGTGTGGAGGAATGCTGGATGAATAGCCAAAAACTTACAGAAATGAGCTGCTTTTTTTAAAAAAAAAAAAGACTGCTCAAATTGGTTAATTTGAAAAGCCTTAAATACATGTGCTAACTATTGTTGCCTTAGGTTGATAGTTATTTCAGAATTCTATTTGCTTATACATTAATTTTTATTTTATTTCTAGGTAAACAGCTGTTTGAAATGGATCATAACCTTGACACCTCTGACATCCAGTTCTTGGAGGAAGGTAAATTTCTGTTTGTTTCCACAGCTGAAAGACAGTGGCTTAAAATAGGTCAAAATTTCAAAGCAAAATCTGTATTATGTTTCTGGCTTAACATTTTACCTCAGTATCACTTTTACGTTGAAAGAACTTTCTAAGAAGTACCGTTTTGCAGACTAAACAGAAGTGATTTTAACTTCCTTCAAAAACCAAAACGTTTTCAAGATGCTAAAGCATATTTATTTACAGGTTTGAGCTTGAGTTGATCTTATTTCTGTTGCTTCTGTTCAAGTGTTTGGACTGGAAGCAAAGCCAAACAAAACCAAAACAAAAACCCCACAACCAAACCCAGCTTTTACTTTTTTTTCTAACAGCCAGCCTTCTTACCCCCAATTTCAAGTGCAGATCTTGAAGTTCTGTCTCCTTCTCTCTGAACCCCAACACCAATAGTAAACATCTTGCAGGTCAAATTAAATGCTGTTTGCCTCTATGCAACCCAGTTCTTCTTCATGATTTTTGTGCAGATTTGTCTGTTATCTTACTGAAAATATCTGACCTGGTGCTACCTGAGAATTTTGTAAGCCTGTGCCAAAAGATGTTAAACTTGGAAAATCTGTTGGAGATAAATCAAATAAATTTACTCACAGTCATATATCTATTTAATTTTCTGTACTGTCTTTTAGTATCCTAGTTGAAGAGACTGATTTTTTTGAGTTAAGACAGTTCTTTAATGTAGCTGCGTTATCTACTGGTATTGCAAAACACACATGCAGAAGAGAGTCAAGAATTTTCTCTGCACGTAACCATTTAAAAACAAAGTTGTTTATGAACATCAGTGAGTATAAACTTGAAATGGCAGTGATGGGGAAGCTGAGTTTCTTTTAGTTAGAGGGTATAATTTAACTTTGTCGTCCTCCAGAATGGCTAAAGTGAACATGGGTTGTTGATGGAACATTTGGTTGCCTCAGGGGAGGAACAGACCTCTGTATTTGGGCTCTGTGCCCAAATGACTTGGGATTAATGTATTAATTTTTAATCCTGTTGCCATCAGTGATTAAAAACTCCTGTTCTTATGGCTGTTTGCACTCTATCAGAAATGCAACAGGTTACTAACTGCAATTTAATATTACAATACTGTGTAATAAGTAATACTAATTTTCACAGCTTAAACAGGATAATGGCATTATCTTTTAGATGGAAACGGTTATAAAGGCTCTTTGGAATCCAGTGAAAGAGCAGAACTTTATTCAGTGGCCAGAAGATGTCACTGTTGATACACACAAATAAACCAGCAGTAGGTCTCAAGTTTTATCCTTAGGTCAGCATCATCTCTTTCAAAAGAAAATGTGAAAGCATGCAAAGCTTCATCTTACGTTTGCTTTCAGATTTAAATTTTAAAAGCATGTATGTAAATGGTGTGTCAGGGTGTTTTTTGTTTTTTTTTATAAATCGTCTGTGTCTCTCTGGCTATGATAGTTGTAACTATTCCAGCTGTGAGGTTCTGAGCTCCTACTTTGACAGTACCTGGGAGAAAGGATCTCTGCTTCTGGGAACTATAAATGTTAATTGCATCCTCCCAATGGATTCTGAGGTCCTGTGTGACATTTCTCTTGACTGGGTTTTGGTACAAGGAAAAAAAGCTTCACCTTAGCTGTAGAAAGGTAAAATGTGGCATTTCCTTTTCCGTATCTATTTGATATTAAAATGCCAAGTAAGGTAACAGCTACGTGCACTGAAGAATGAATATGAAGTGTTGTATATTTTGTTGTTCAGGTACTGTTTTCCTACTTGCATGAAAATAAATTATTTTTCTGTTCTTTGCAGCTGGAAACAGCGTGGAGGTTGATGAATCTTTATTCCAAGAAATGGATGATTTAGAGTTGGAGGATGAAGAGGACGACCCTGACTACAACCCTGTTGATTTAGATAGTGATTAGACTTTCTTGAACTGGCTCTGTCATCAGTATGGACATGTGTAAGGAGAGAGGGGCAGGCAGGAAAGCCACAGCATCTGTGGCTTTAGTAATGTGTATTGGTTTTCTTTTTTCTTTTTTTTCCAAAGAAAAAAACCAAAATATTTTAAATCCAGGAGAATGGTCTTCTGATGACTTTCATCGTAAATAAATTCACTTTAATGTTTCAAATGAAAAATTTGAGGAATATTGATCTGTCTGAAAATGCTATTCTATTTTCTCTCATTTCTTCCTTCCCACTTCTGTAATTGTCCTTTGAAGAGATGTGACAACAAGGAAGATGGAAAGATGTTGTAGCAAGCGCTAAACACACCTGCATCTGAAGGCTGAGCAGCTGTTCTGCTTTCTTCCACCTGGGATATACTTGGGCAGCTTTGGTGAATAAAAGGGTTTCCATACTATGCAGTTATTTTTTTATTTTTCTTCTGTGGAATTTTATAACACTTCAGGTCAGTTCTGGTGCCCCAACCTATCAGCTGTAGGTAGGCAGCACTAGTCACCTTTTAATAAGGCATGGCCTTAGTAAAGTTTAATGGAAAGCCATTTCCATATGACTAGAGAAAAACCTTTAAATCTTTTGCTGTAGTTGAGGATAATAGTTTTTAAATGACTAGTTCAAGTGTGAAGGGAAAAAAAAAAATCAGAATGAGATGAAGGCCTCTTGAAAAGTTTGATTGATTTATTCAGAGAGGGTTTGTGTGGGGCTGCTGGTTTTTTGTTTTGTTTCTTGAGCTTGTGCATCAATGAACTTCCGCAGGGAAAAAAAAAACACCCTAGGAAAATGAGTTTGCTTTTGGCAACAGACTATGTCGAAACACTGTCAGTGGAGTGCAGATTACAGTACCAGGATTTAGCAGCCTATAAATGTTAGCACAACGTACAGTAATGCCACACATCAGCTCGTGGACGTTAACCATCCTGCTGAGTTGCTGATGGACCTAGCAGCTTGATACTAGACGACTCCTCCCTTCCGACCTCCAAAAAAACCCCAAACACTGTGACAACTGTGGTGTTTAAACATGCTGCATGTGAGATGGCATCAGCAGAAGGCTGATGGTGTGGATGAAAGTTTCAAAAGACAGCTCTCCAAATAGAGAACCACCAGGCACCTTGATGGTGAAATGCTGTGTACTGAATTTTAAAATACTATTAGTAAACTGCCTGAGCTGCGCCAGCTTCAGCCTTTGAAGAGGGTTGCACTAAAGTATCGCAGTGCTTAGAGGAATAATAAATTTATGAACTTTAATATTTGGAAATTCTGTATTCTAAATGAGAAATTTAACTCCAGAAATAATTCAATGGTATGTAAGATTCTCTGCTAATATCACTTGAGAACATCTGTTTAGGATGATCTCCTTTAACATGTTTCGGTAGTCTTTTGTATTCAAGATGAATGACTTTATAGTAGATAGAAATAAATGTTCGAGTACCCTGTAAATACTTTTATAAATTAATCATGTGCCTTTGTTCCTACAGTCCCCTATTTGATCTTTTTAATTTTGGCTACTAAGAGCTATAGACAAGCATCCAGGTTTCTGTGATAATGTTGTACGTTTCAAAGCAATAAGCAGGATCTGTATTCAAGCAGTTACCAGATACATTAAAAAATGGTGAGCTAATGTGATATTAAATCTGACTTTTCCAAAGATACGGTTGGATTGAAAGCTTCATCGTGACTACATCCAGCTTCCTGTGTAGTTGCAAGGATGCTTGAAAATGCTCTTCAGCACTGAACTTAATTTATTTCTGGTATGTCTCAATTCAGCTGCATAAAACCAGTTAACTCCTAAGGCTGCTTTCCATTTTCAGCTATGTATGTTCAGATTTGGTTAGCTTTGTTAGCAATTAACATCTGTGAAATAAAAGGGAATTGGACTGAGAGCAAGCTCGGCTATGTTTGTGTGGTTTAGTTTGCTGAATGGGACTGAGATAAGGGCTTTTGGTGGAAGAAGTTTAGGGGAGATATTTAAAGTTTACTTACACGCTTTGGATTAGATTGAAGTCTAATTCATATTAACCTAATAAAATTCCATCGATAAACTTTGATGGAATTTTAGTAATTTAAAATCACGGTGTTGACAACCTAGCTTGTATCTTGCTTTTAACTCTCCAAGTCCAAAGCATACCCTGTAATGCGTGTAGGGGGATTATTACGAGTTGCAACACTGCACCATGACCAGAGCTGATTTAGTTTAGAATTTGAACAGTTGGTGCCTGAGCTCTAAAAATTCCGAGGACGGTGCCCACCACATCAGGATGCTGTAGGAGTACAATCTCGGGCATGCTGCAAAGTCTAGGATTTTGCATCTGAATTATGATTGCATTATGATCTGCTTTAAAGCAAACAAAACTTGAGGGTGGTAGATGTCTGTCTTTCCTTCTTATTTTGGCCAAAAATGGGGAGCTTGAAGTACATTTCCTGTAGGGAGAATCAACTTCAGTCTTTCTCCTAGACTTACAACTGTGTCTGGATCCAGGATGCTGATACTCTAGATCCTGAGAGAGAGCTGTCGTGCGAGTGCACGCTCTCCTGTTGCAGAATCCGACAGACCCTGAAATACTGCTTGTGTGTGTTTGTGGTGGGTTTTTTTTGGTTTGTGTTGTTTGTTTTTTGTGTGGGTTTTTTTGGTTTTTTGTTTTGGTTTTGTTTTTGGTTTTTTTGGTTGTTTTTTTTTTTAGCCCTTTAGTGCCTTGTGACTTGGCTTGGAGTAGGAGGGAGAGGGGAGAGGCTTTTGAGGTTCAGTTCTTCGACGTAATTGCATTTATTGCCATGAACTCAATTTTACACTCTGCATTGCGTGTTTGTGAAATCAGCAACTGATAGAGTGAGCTGATCCCGCTGGGCTGTGGCAGACAGCGTAGTGTGAGCTTTATGTGGCTTTTGTTGCTATGCTGGGACTTCCCGTCATTGGAAATACAGCAGAGATCCAGATTCTGTTTGTACTTACGGTAAACTCGCCAAAAGGCCTACATTAGGCTTCTGCCTTTGAACTAGTTTTACCTTTTCTGTGGCAGGGTAAATACGTACAGGTGGAAAAGGTCACTGAACTGGGAGGTTCAGAGTCGGAGGTCAGGGGATGCAGTGGTTACGTACATAAGTCACGTAAGCGTTTGGGGTTTTTTTTGTAACTTATTTTCTTGGTATCAGGGATGCAAAGTTCCAGAAGGAAAGATGATCTGGCTGTGCTGTCAGAGGACATGGAAACATTCTTTTTGTGGCTAATTATCTGAGGTCACCTTTGCCTAATAGAAGCAGCTAACTATGTAGGGCATGAAGTAATTCTGTCCAGGAAACAGCAGGCAAAATGTATCAGAAGGCTAAAACAGGTATATTGAAAGTCACAGACTCATAGAATGGTTTGGTTGGAAGGGACCTTAAAGCCCACCCAGTTCCAGCCCCCTTGCAGGGGCACCTCCCACCAGTCCAGGTTGCTCACAGCCCCATCCAACCTGGCCTTGAACACTTCCAGGGATGGGGCAGCCACAGCTTCTCTGGGCAACCTCTGCCACTGCCTCACCACCCTCACCGGGAAGAATTTCTTCCTAATGTCTCATCTAAGTCTTCCCTCTTCCAGTTTAAAGCCACTTAAAAAGAGAAGAAAGAGCTGGTCCCTTGGGACCAGTGAAAGAAGCAAAGAAAGACAAGACATTATGTGAACTGGAAGGCTGTTTTACATTTTTGAAACAATTTATGGGAAAGCCAAGGTTAGATGCTCTTTGTCAAATCATAACAATTATTTGGAATGTGTTTTCAATTAGAAGTTGTATCATGCTGTGGCTGGTTGTTAGGACATTGATTCAGTAGCAACCAAAAGCAGTCACGACAGTTTGGTCACGTAGACATCCCAGCAGGAAGCAGGGATGAGGGTCCAAAACTTGGCTTCCCCGCCAGGGAAGTGTGGTTGGTGTCTGGAAAAAAGCTAGAACAAAATGTTTCCTCCTCAGATATGTCCCTTCCCTCTGCCCTCCTGACTGACCCAACAGCATGTTGTCAAACTGACCAGCCTTTGTATTTTTTCTTGGAATTTCCAAGCAGTATCTGAAAGTTGCATAAAGAAAAAAAAGGGACAAGAGTCAAGACAAGCAGGATCAACCTTACCCGGTTTCATGACGAAACCTACGTGTAGGTTACAACTTCGGTTGTGCAGATTTGACTAGTTTTCCTACATCATTTCAATAATCATTGATCTGAGGCAATGGTTTTCATCGTACCACTTAGTAAGTGCATCTCAGCTGCTTCCGTGCTTTTGGCACATCTGGTTGTAAAAGTAGCTTATTGCTACTTACTGCTCAGTACTTTCTTCATCAGAAAGAAAAAAGCATCATTCCTGTGCATACTCTGACCTTTACCCTAAGCTAACAGTGAGATTGCCCTAACAAGTAGCAGAGAAAAAAGAAACAGAAATAATCTGCTAATGTATGAACTATTGTGAACGCGTGGTTCACAGTACTACTAAGCCAGGTAGGACAGTAACAGGTCGCTACTGCCATAAACCTCACCCATATAACATCGTTTTTATTTGAAGATGATGGGGAGAGAGAAAGGAAGAGAAAAGCCACAGGGAAAAGAAGAGTTCTGAAGATAAAGATTAAAGTAAAGGCATGGAGAAATATTTAATGTTAAAGGAGGTTGTAATTTTTTTTTTTGACTTTTGGATTTTTTACTGAGGTGTATAGAGAGGCTATTTATTAAAAAAAAAAGTAAAATATCTCATTTCCAGGATTCATTGTCAGTAATGGATGTGCTGCATGAAAAGCAGGAAACTTGATGAGGGAGTAGTTGCATACCGATGTTTTGCTCCTTCCACAAGCAAGAGCTTTATGATATTTCCTCTCCTATTTATTTAGTTGAAACTTACTCTTTGACACAATGATAACTGCTTTGCTTAAGTGACAGTAGATAAACCCTTATCTTTTCTCTCTTCAGGAAATCCTCCAGCTTTGATTTCTCTAACCTGATTATGCTATTATGCTTTGAAGGAATGAATAAAGGCAACTAACCTATCCTTAGATTGTCTATAGACACAGATAGTCTGCAAGAAAACTTTTTTTTTTTAAACTCAAAATAACATTCACATTAAAGTCTCCATAAGTTCTTAATATTATAGTATATAAAAAAAAATATTTGGACAAGTCATATAAAAGATAAACTGAATAAATAGGTAAAAAAAAATGAAA